ACTTGGGCTAAGGCAGAACTGACACGTGCCAAGGAAAATCAATCAGAGGCGGCGTGCGACGTGGCCCAACGATTGACCTCGGGCTTTTTGCAAAACTAGCAGCGCTGACTGTGACCAGTAGAATATTCGCAAAGTAAGGTGTATTGTGGCAAAACTAAGTGACTTAGGTGCTTAACAGAAAATCATTACCTTGGCAGCACCTGCGAGTGCCTCCTCGTCGATGTCGTCGTTTTTCTTAAGAAAGTCCTGGAAAAAACATGCACGTTTTTTCTTTCACGGACTGTTACCTACTCACTCTAATGGTTCCTCTGTTACGTAATTCATTACTTCATATAATCCTTTTTACATTCGCACTTATGTGGGGTATGACAAAAAATTGATGCGACTGCCCACAATATATGACAACACCAGTTCCACATATACGGAAATTACGGTAACATTATGGTTACTACAACACAATTGGGGACGAGGGGTGCAGTAATTGGGAGCTCAAGGTTGCTATCCTGAAGTGACTGAGAACAAGGCTTATCGGGTCACCAAAATGTGTGAAGCGCTAAGTAGTGTGAAATGCTGAGCAGGTATTATTCAGGTTGGATATAGTGAGTGCTAAGTTTTTCCGGGTTTGAAATATCAGATTGTTGCGATGTAAGTGTAGCACAGATTCACTCCCATCTATTGGGTGATATATTGTACATACATGCGCACATACATTGTACATACAAACATGACATACATATATACACTACACACATACACACAAACCGACATACCAAGTTATGAGTTTAAATGGAGCAGTGCTGGTTAGGCGGCGCTCCTGGTTCGTGATCGCACTATATGCGATCAGGATTGAGAAAGCACACCTATTCATCAGGCCAATAGGAGATTAGGCGAGTAGACGAGTAGGCGACCGCTTCAGTGGGCGAAGCATCGTCAGCATCGAAGTCGGTACGGATGTCTTATTGATACGTATCCCTTTCATTGCGAACTAATGGCTCAATCACATAATCCATATACGATCGTGAACTATTGTATGAACGATGCCTTATCAACGTAGCACCTTTCTGTGTACATTCACAGCTATTACACGGCATGGGAAAGATCTAACTAGTGGAGCACCTGTGAAAAACGCCCCGCATAAGAAGATAACCTCAGCGGCGGGCGGAAACTAGGGAGGACCATATGGAGAGCAAGAATAACCCTGTGCTTGTCACAGAGCACCAGTCCTGACAAACAAATCTATATAATGATGTCTGTCCGGAGATCTTGCTGTGAACACAAGACTGTAACATCAGCAATCGGCAGATTTACTGTAACCCCTTGGAGTCAAATAGATGAGATCAAGCAGATGGAATGCACACCACACCGCAATTGTACGCCAAAATCGCGGTCGAGCTGACCTCAGGACTTCGGTGTTGAAATCCTAACCTCACCATCCCACCAAGAAAGCAGAGCGCCAAATAAGCATATCGAATTTTAACACATTCACGACGACGCCCCTTTTCCACTTTTCGGTCGCGTGGGACGGACGCGATTTTGTGGGCGCCGCCGCCTCACCACATCACCGCAGATTTTGTTTTGTAAATGAACAAAAACATGAATTCCACAAAATGATTTCATCAATGTTCAATGTGCGTTCAATGTTGTACGAGTGTTGAATGTTCAACGTGAATGTGTTAACTTCTGCTTCTTTTCAGCGTTTGAGACTTTTCAAGGTCACTTTCACTCTACGTTGACGCATAGTCTGGGCACGAGCCCACATTCTGAGCTATGAGTAGGTTCAGATACGACGTCGATGGCACAGCGTACCATCAGTGGATCCACTCCGAACGATCAGTGGAACTTTGACATCAAGGAGGATAAACGGTCACAAAGCCATAGCTAGATTGGCACAGTTTACGGTGGACAAATTCAGTGATCTCCTGTTTTGGACTCTATATCGTTTCTTGTGGTTTAAGTTCCTCGAAACTTCTTGAATATTCACGTCTTCATTACTGGTGAGCTTACGGATTCCGCTGTTCATGTTGCTTGTCAACTAGAGAACCATAGAGTCGTATTCTGCTTTGTATCATCAGTTTGTTGTTAGTCTTACAGATACAATTTGCAGTGTTCACTTGTACGACACTCGGCGCAACGCCCTCGTCCAGGATTTCATTGACATAAATTTGTTCGGATCGGTTTTCACTTTCACGTGAAGACGTATAGTTGATCTACGGTATATACTATGAAGCTATCATTGTAAGTGGTCATCCTTATGACCTCTTGAAGTGCGACACGAACAAAGGCAAACCTACTGCCCCCTGATTGGTTGCGTGAAACAAAAAACAAAAAATTTAGGTTTGGTTGTAAAGGTATCGGAGATGAGATTGGGATTTCATCACCGAAACTCCTAGTTTAGCTCGACCGCGACTTTGGCGTAAATTGCGGCGTGGTGTGTATTTCATGTGCACGACACAGTTCATCTGACGCCGAGGGGTTATGGTAAGGGTTTGCCTACTGAACCACACCTTCGAGGGGGTGAGCTGCTTCGTCACCGGATGTGTCGCGACGGCGGTGCCGCAGAGCTGGAGCGAGATACGAGAGATGCGTGGCCTGCGTTATGTGCTGCGATTATAAAGATGTATTAAGTGGACCGCGCCTTCGGCCCAATCTGCCACGGTATCCTGCG